TTGGGCTCCCTACATGGAGCCAGCTTCTCCCTCTATCTCTGCCTCTCTCTGTGTGTCCCTCATGAATAAATAGGTAAAATCTTAAAAAAAAAAAAAAAAAAAAAAAAAGGAGCAAAGAGAGACACGCTTCCTCCAAGTCATCTTACTAAGCAGCGGCAGTTAAGAGTGCTGGCTGAGGGGATCCCTGGGTGGTGCAGCGGTTTAGCGCCTGCCTTTGGCCCAGGGCGCGATCCTGGAGACCCGGGATCGAATCCCACGTCGGGCTCCCAGTGCATGGAGCCTGCTTCTCCCTCTGCCTGTGTCTCTGCCTCTCTCTCTCTCTGTGACTATCATAAAGAAATAAAAATTAAAAAAAAAAAAAAAGAGTGCTGGCTGACTTCAGTTTAACAGGAGGTAAGCTTCTCAAGTTAGAAAACAGAGCCTAGCAGCACCTGGGTGGTCTAGTGAGTTAAGCACCCACTTGATTTCAGCTCAGGTCATGATCTCAGAGTCCTGAGATCAGGCCCCACATCCAGCTCTGTGCCCAGTGCAGTCTGCTTCTCTCTCTCCCTGTGCTCCTCACCCCCCTTGCTATCTCTATAATAAATAAATCTTAAAAAAGAAACAAAGCCGAGTGGTGCCTCAGTGGCTGAATCGGTTAAGCTTCTGCCTTTGGCTCAGGTCATGATCTCAGGGTCCTGGAATCGAGCCCCAAATCAGGCTCCCTGCTCAGTGAAGAGCCTGCTTCTCCCCCTCCCTCTCTCCTCCCTGTTTATGCTTGTTCTCTCTCTCTCAAATTAAAAAAAAAATTTTTTTTAAGATTCTATTCCCTAATCTTCAAACAAATCACTCATTTTCTGAGAGCAGAAAAAGACCCCTTAGTGGGCAGGAGATGGGAAAACAGGATATAAATCCACTGCCTTAAAAAAACTGATAGCATTAATCAGTTAATTGGAGAATTCTCTTGTCAATACTGTGGTGAGGCACAGCTGCCCTAGAAACACTCTATATTGTTATGTAACTAAACACTTTGAAAAATTAACTGTAAAGAGCTGCTCAAGACACTACCAGAGCAAAACTGCAGGGAAGCCTGCTCTTGCTCCTGTAAATAACAGATCTGTTTACCAGAACACATAGGACTGAAGGACTCCTCAGCCCCAATGAGTGGGTCATTTGTTCCAGAAAACATGTATCTGTGAAGATGGCCTATCCTAAGCAGCAAGTCCCTTTACCAACAGTCTCTTCCAAATTTCAGTCAATCCAATGTACAGCTCAGATTTTGTGCAGAGTTTGAAGCACAAATGATTTTATCATTTTTAAAAATTTTTATTTATTTATTCATGAGAGACACAGGCAGAGGGAGAAGCAGGCTCCATGCAGGGAGCCTGATGTGGGACTCGATCCCGGGACTCCAAGGTTACACCCTGGGCTGAAGGCGGCGCTAAACCGCTGAGCCACCCAGGCTGCCTCACAAATGACTTTTTAATTGACCTGATTGATCAACTTTTGATAAAAATAATTTTGGAAAAATGAGTTAACATTTAAGAAGCAAAGAGGAGCCAAGTAGAAGCAACGATCCTATTAAATCCTAGGTCTCTCAGGAGCCTGGGTGGTTGTCAGTTAAGTGTCTGCCTTTGGCTCAGGTCATGATCTCAGAGTCCTGGGACTAAGTCCTGCATGGGGCTGCCTGCTCAAGGAGGAATCTGCTTCTCCCTTTTCCTCTGCCCCTCCCCCACCCTGCTCAGGCCTGTGGGTTTTTTTTTTTTAAGATTTTATTTATTTATTCATGAGAGACAGAGAGAGAGGAAGAGGCATAGGCAGAGAGAAGCAGGCTCTCTACAGGAAGCCCAATGTGGGCCTCGATCCCAGGATACCCTGGGCGGAAGGCAGGCGCTCAACCCCTAAGCCACCCAGGTGTCCCATCAAGTTTTTAAAAAATTAAAAATTCAAAAAAAAAATTAAAAATTCCAGGTCTCTAACTTCACGTCTGCACTGAATGTATCATACAGATGGGGTGTGTTTCAAAGCTTCCACCACTAACCAGTGCTAAAAGGCAGTTTCTAGCTCTGAGCTCATCTAGCTTGTTGAGGAGACCCCTTAAATCTAGCTATCTGCGTGGTTTAAAAAGGATAAATTTTAAATTATCTAGGGGAGAATAGAGGGAGAATTCTATAGTACATTTCTTTTTCTATGTGAAACTACAGTAAATAGTCTGTGTGAATTTTTGAATACACTGATTTACAGAAAGCTCCAAATAACACACGCCTTGTTGTTTACAAAACCAGTAGTCCTGCAATAAGGATTGATTTAAATGCAAGTTTCTTAATTTCTCATTCCTTATGGGCTTGCAACTTCATAATCACTTCAACATCTCACTGTTCATTCCAATGTTAAAAATTATGATTGCCAAATGTGAAAAACCAAGTCCAAGATTTTGTACTATGGGGAAGAGCTTCTAAGTTTAAAATGATTGATTAAAAAGAACAGAATCCATAAAAACAAAACACCAAAACCTATATATAAACTTCTAAAGCAAACTTGCCTGTTTTCATTGTCAAAATGATACACCTAAAAAATTTCAAATGACTTTCCCTTTTAGAATACATGCATCCCTATGTCTATAGCAGCATTATTTACAATAGCCAAGATATGGAAGCAGTCCAAGTGTCCATCAATCGATGAATGGATAAAGATATGGTGTGTGTGTATATATGTGTGTATACATAATGAAATATTAGACATAAAAAGTGAAATCTTGCCATTTGCAATGACACAGATGGAGCTAGAGAGTATTATCCTAGGCAAAATTTAAATCAGAGACAGGTATTTCACTTGTAAGTGGAATTTAAGAAACAAAGGGGGGAGAAAAAGAAACCAAGAAGTGACTCTTAATTATGAAGAACTGATGGTTATCAGAGATGAGGGGGTGGGGGGCGGTTAAATAGGTAATGGGGATTAAGGAGTGCACCTGTCATGACCAGGTGACATACGGAAGTACTGAATCACTAGACTGACTGAACCTGAAATTAATATTACACTGTAAACTGGAAAATTAAAACTTTAAAGATTTATCCTTTTTATAATTCAATCACAGAAATAATTTATCTGAAAGCATATCCTATTTCTATACTAATTGCCTCAAGAATAAAAATGTTTATAGAAGGCCTTATTTTATAAAGTCATGAAACCTTAGGCCAGCCCGAGTGGCTCAGCAGTTTAGTGCCACCATCAGCCCAGGGTGTGATCCTGGAGACCTGGGATTGAGTCCCACGTTGGGCTCCCTGCACGGAGCCTGCTTCTCCGCCTCTCTCTCTCTGTGTCTCTCATGAATAAATAAAATCTTAAAAAAAAAAAAAAAAAAACTTTTTTTTTTTTTTTAAGAAACTTTAGTGAATTTATATCATTTCTCCACTCTAGAACTTTCCATAGGAGATTGTCTTCAAACAGGAACTGGACACAGGGTCAAAAGGAAAAATTTTGGTCAAGTATATGTGTATTAAAAAATCAAAGAAAAAAAGTTGCTAACGCGAGCATTCCCCCAAAGTGACATTCAGAAAAAAAAAGCTTATTTTAATATGACCATGTGAAGACATTCTAAATTTATTTTTTTTTAAATTATTTAGCATCTGATACTAAATAGAGAATTCTGTATTTGTTCTTTGCAACTGGTTGAAATTTATGTACTTGCAGTTTACAAAATAAAACAGTCGATGGATCCCAGAGTTCTATCCCAAAGGAACAGACTTAGTTTAAAAAAGAAAAAAAAAAAAAGGAGGAGGGGATGGCTTGACAAGAAAACACTTCTCTGTTGTCCTCACATCATCCATCATGACCCCAGAGGGTCCACTAAGCAGGGCTTTCACCCCCACCCACCCCCAACCCGGACAGTGTCCTTTACACTGGCCGCTATCACAGTGAGCACCACCCCAGAGGATCACAACACATTCTCACTATGTCCTGGGAGGAAAGTGAGAGTAGAGTTCTGACCTGGCTTCGCAGATTGTCTTTCAAGCTCTGCTTCTGGTCTTCTAAGTGAGCAGCCTACTTGGACTGGTGCTAAAAGACTTTCAGTAAGAGGAAGACAGCACTAATAAATGACAAGGTGAATCAAGACTACACACAGAAAATAAGACACTTATTATGCTAAATAACACATTTTATTTTTCATTTTCCCAAAACACTAAAATAGCACACGGCAGAGTAATTTAGGACACAAATGGAGAGAGGCAATGAGTAACCCCGAAAATGGCTGTCTTACTTTAGGACTCCTTAAAAACTCATGCTCTGAGGTGACCTTGATTGGAATTCTCAACAACCAGAGGGGTTACCTCAGAAAAAAGGCTAGTGTAAGAGATACCTCCGCTCCTGGAAACTGGAAACATTCTACAGGGGAAATATGAGGTCTGTCTCCCCCTACCTGAGCTACAGCAGATGGTCTCAAGCTTGTTTTATTTCAGGTGACAGGGCTAGGGCTCCGTGTTTGAGAAAGGATTACACTAAAAGGACATTGAATATTTCAACTTTCACCATAAGGACTCCATTTAAACTGAGTTTCAAGGGGGAAGGAAAGGGATATGACAAAAATCAAATTTTGCTGCTGACCGAAATTCTACAGAATGCAGAAATGGTGGCAGCTCACAATCACATCAGCAGGGCTGAGAGCAAGTAGGGAGGAGGGGACTTGTACATAAACAGGCACTTCCACCTGATGATCAGACAGTCTAAGGAGACAGTATCTGGGACAGTAGCCCTTTAGAATGAATGCTGAAGATACATAAAGAATTTTGTTAAATCTTTACATTGTAACCTGACATTTATATAGGATGTATTAATGTTATTGAAAAGGTATCCCAATATTGAATGTCTTTCAAGCACATGATAAAACATGTTCAAAAATCTCTTATATCAACCAACTTCCCATGAGTTCATCTGATCATACAAACTGAAGCAGGAACTTCATGGCTGCCCTGTTGGCATCCAGACTCAGTGTGAAAGCAATCATTGTAAGACAACTTTTAAAATTAATCTCACTATTTTTATTGTTCTGCTTGTGCCTTAACTATGGCATAATGGATTTGCTACTTCAAAAGCTGGTAGAGCTAGTAACCCCAGTGTTACCTGCAGATGGTTTGAGGTACTTTTTATACTTGAAAGCATTTTCTTGTTTTCTACTGTTTGCTCTGAAAACACAGGCTCTAAATGGCCAAGGAAAACACATTTTGTCTCATCATTCAGGAAAACTTCAGGGCATGCATACAACAGTGTAGACAGGACGAAATGCAAGCAAGACAGTTCCAACTCGAGGCCTGACCCTTCTGGCAGAGCACTTGGCGGTTCCTCCTCAGAAATCCCCATTTCTAATCTTTTCTGACAGCACAGTAGTCCTGACCCCCAAGGCTCTCCTTTGTGGCACCATCCTCTGTGGCTGTTGATTGCTCTTGGTCCCCCTCCCAGCCAGTCCCTCATACCACAGGGCACCCCAGCCAAACACTCTTCTGCAGGAGCACAGAACAGATCCAGAGTCTTGCTCTGAGCCGCAATGGAAGCTGAATTTCTTCTTAATGATTCTTTCAAACATGGAAGCACTTTATTGCCATTGAGGAGCAAGAGGCTGGTCTCACTGAGAGCATTTTTCATTTCCATTGATAACTCCTCATTTTGTGAATTTCCATCCACATCAACCACAGATGTATGCATCCAGGAAGAGGAAGGTATACCTGACAGGCAAGGGCTCTCCCCCTGCGCTCTTCCAAGTCCATACAGCAGCCTGTTTGAGTCCTCTCCCACCCCCTTCACCTTCCCGAGGCAAGTGTCCAGAGCCCCGACTCTGTCCCTCATGCTGTGTGTTCTCTGATGTGGAGACTTGACCACACGAGGGTCAGCAGAAGGCCTTCAATGGATCTCAATATGAACCTGGAAGAGATAATCAAATTAGGGTATTATTACGAAGACAGGGTCTTAAAAGAGCGTACACACACCAGGTATTTCCGAACAAATATGAAGATCTCTTTAACAGTTTCTGGTACCAAGGATTCCTACATTTTGACAGAAAACATGATAACCTACCAATCAGAGATCACAACAAAAAGAACATACTTAAAAAAAAAAGTACGTTATTAATTCAGCGTTTCCTAAAAATATGAAAAATGAACATTCTTAGGGTTTGTACGTTTCACAGCTATTTAGTTATTTCTGTAGGTTCAATAATCAGGATTGATTGTCCTCTCTTTAATCACGATGTAACTGGATGACTTGATCATGCAGACCAAGGCCCTACCTGATGTGTCCTATTTGAGAATGCTTCTCAGTGACTCAAGCATGACAAGCTACTTTTAAGGAATCAAGGTCAACTTTATTTATGGATCTAATGCCCACAAAGCCCTTCCAGGAAAAACCAGCATGGAGGGTCCTGGCATGTAACACTGCAGCCTCAGGGTGATAAGGAAGATCACTGGCTGCCATATCAGGAACCTCAGCAAATTCTGGAGCCTTAATAAGGGAAGAATTCACCCGAATTTATAGGTACAAGTAAATATGCTAGAGAAAGGTTCTTGGGCTTAGCTCCCCACTCTCAGACTAGCAAATAATAGAGGCTTTTGAAAGCCCAGTCTGAGATTCTACGTTGAAAACTTCAGGACAGAAGTTGATTTGTGACTTCAATGGTCATTTAAGAGCAAATTCAAGGTGACCAGATGGTTAACACTCTCACTGTACTTGGAACCCTAATGGGACCAGCCTTTTTCTGTGACCAAGAATAATCTTTCTTTGATATCATTATGTCTCCAGTGGGGAAGATGTGTCAGGAAAGGCTGTGAAAGGGCCCTGAGGTTGACAAACCACAAGTTGATTGGGCATGCTGTCCAGTGAGTCCTTGAGTTACCTAAATTTATGGAGCCTTGACCCTCTCTCCAAGCTGCTTTACAACCCTCTGAGTTGTAGGAAATGTGAGAGGAAGGCAAAAGATTTCTCATCCAAAGAAATAAAAATTTTGTCTAGGCAACTGATTATTGCCTGTGATACTGACCAGTTTTATTTTTATTTTTTTTTTACCAGTTTTATACCCATTTGGCATTCCTGATTACGTGTGTGCTTGATTTGTCTAAATTCTCCCTTAAACTGATTCTAACATCTCATTACTTCATTAACTGAGTTAAAAAAAAAAAGAAAAAAGAAAAAGGGCAGCCCCAATGGCGCAGCGGTTTAGCGCCGCCTGCAGCCCGGGGTGTGATCCTGGAGACCAGGGATCGAGTCCCACATCAGGCTCACTGCATGGAGCCTGCCTCTCCCTCTGCCTGTGTCTCTGCCTCTCTCTCTCTCTCTCTCTCTCTCTGGGTCTATGAATAAACAAATAAAATCTTTAAAAAAAAAAAAGGTGACCCGTGTTCTTTCAGAAACCAACCAGGGATGTCTGGGTGGCTCAGCGGTTGGGTAGCTGCCTTCAGCCCGGGGCATGAACCTGGAGTCCTGAGATCGAGTCCCACATTGGGCTCCCTGCATGAAGCCTGCTTCTCTCTCTGCCTGTGTCTCTCCCCCTCTCTGTCTCTCTCTCATAAATAAATAAATAAATAAATAAATAAATAAATAAATAAATAAATAAAATCTTAAATTAAAAAAAAAAAACAGAATCCCAGAGCATTAAACATAAAAATAAAGATATGCATAAACTCTATTTAATAATTTTTCTAAGAGGCCACCTGAAGGAAGAGACATCTAACGAAAAAACACAACTCTGCTGGGAGAAAGGGAGGCTGAAAATGTGGGATGTGAGACAGGAGCCTGGGAGCTCATTTTCCAGAGTAATACACAGACAAAGCCTGAGTGAAGAGTCAGGGAGCAACAAGCATGCAGTTCAGAGACGGAGGAATATGCACAAGGAGAACCAGCTGTAGCTGAGGCCTGGCTGCGGGGACAGAGAGATGGGGGTCAGGAAGCTGCAGTTTCTCTAACTAGGGGAGCTCAGAGACTCCAAGCTAGGTGAGTGTATACGTATTACATTTTTTAAAAAATTGAGACTATACTGAAAGAGAAAAACAAGAATTACTGGAAGCTGACACAGAAGCAAAGTGAGTGAAGGGATGGGGGGCCAGGAAGCCAACCAGGGCTAATGAGAGGCAGTGGCTGCAGCTTGAGGAGTGTGATGACATCCGCGGCGATGCAGAGCCACCAAGGGCTGTTTGGCCAGGTCTGCCCTTTGGATTAATTACCTGGCTGTAGTGTGGTGGCTAGATGGGAAAGGAAGCACATTTCCAATGAGGAGGCTATTACAATGGTACAGGAAAGAAGAGGAGAGACAAAGTATTTTTCCAGTTGGTGGCCAACAGGTTAGAAAGGTGGCTGTCACTTCTGGGTAGCAAAGGCATCATTAACAGAGAACGGAGAGGAGCAGCAGGTCTGGAGGGATGTCAAAAGACTCAGATAGGGACACAGAGAGTTTGGCTGCGGGAACTGGGCATGCATTTTGATTATGAGTAAAGTTGTTAGCTCAAAGAGTGATGTCAGAGTTGGGGACCTAGATTCTGAAGTTACCAGCTTTGGAAAGGTGGATAAAAAGAAGACAGTGGGGTACAGAAGGCCAGGATCTCCAAGATGTAGCGAGGGCTCCCTAGCCACCAAGGAGAAGACTCAGAGCACCTCAGGAAACTCCATGTCACAGATGCCAACAGCATTGAGTGCTTCAGAAAGAGGGTGGTTAGATGTGCTTCTTGCACAAACAACTTAGTTCCAGATAAACTCTAAATGATCTTCTAGTCCAGCAGTTGTTGGGGTGACACTACCTCAAGGAGGGAGAGAATACTAAATCATCTTTGTCTAGTTCATTTTATTTCATTCCTCTTTTAACTTTTTCTGTTTTACAATATATACCGTATTTTGGTGGAGCAAAAGATACAATTTTTTTTTATTTATTCATGAGAGACACACACACACAGAGAGGCAGGGACACAGGCAGAGGGAGAAGCAGGCTCCATGCAAGGAGCCCGATGTGGGACTCGGTCCCGGGTCTCCAGGATCACACCCCGGGCAGCAGGCGGTGCCAAACCGCTGCGCCACCGGGGCTGCCCAAGATACAATTTATAAAAACATACATCTCCGTATATCTGTAGGGCATGCTCAAAACTTTTTACCAATAGAAATGTGACCATTACTCTACAGAACTGATAAAAATGTACCTGAACAGTATAAAGCAATACACAGATGTTAGATGCAATTTTATATCTCACAAATATGAGATCTAACTGACATAACATTATATTAGTTTCAGGTGTACAATATAAAGGTTCAATATTTGTATATACTACAAAATGATTACTCACCATAAGTTGACATCCATCACCACACATAATTACAATTTTTTCTTGTGATGAGAACTTTTATGAGGTGCAATCTTATTTTATTAAGTGTGGATTCTGGCTACAATTCAATACAGCTGACCCTTGAACACATGGTTGTGAACTGCACGGGTCCACTTATATGCATGTCTTTTTCAACAAATACAGTACATCCCGTAAAATGTATTTTCTTTTCCTTTTGATAATAACACTTTCTTTTTTCTATATTATTTTTTCTAAGAATACAGCATATGACACAAAATATATGTTGACTGTTATTGGTAAATTAGATTTTTGAGGAGTCAAAATTTATTTATTTATTTTTTAAAGATTTTATTTATTTATTCATAGAGACACATAGAGAGAATGAGAGGCAGAGACACAGGCAGAGGGAGAAGCAGGCTCCATGCAGAGAGCCTGACACAGGACCTGATCCAGGGTCTCCAGGATCACGCCCTGGGCTGCAGGCAGTGCTAAAACCACTGCACCACCAGGGCTGCCCAGGAGTCAAAATTTATACATGGATTTTCAACTGCACAGGGGTCTGCACTCCTAACACCCACCGTTGTTCAAGGATCAAATGTACTTTCAAAGCTTACCAAGTTGGGGTGCCTGGGTGGCTCAGTTAAGCAGCTGCCTTTGGCTCAAGTCATGACCCCAGTGCCCTGGGATAGAGCCCACCACATCAGACTCCCTGCTCAACAGGGAGTCTGCTTCTCCCTCTGTCCCTCACCCCACTCTTGCTCTTTCATGTGCATGTACTTTCTCTCTCCTCCTCTCTTTCAAATAAGTAAAATCTTCAAAGCTCACTGAGTCAAAAATATAACCAAATTCTCTAGACAGTTTTTTTTTTAAAGATTTTATTTATTTATTCATGAGAGACAGGGGTGGGAGGGAGGCAGAGACATACAGGCAGAGGGAAAGACACAGGCATTTCCTTCCATGCAGGAAGCCTGATGCGGGACTCGATCCCAGGACTCCAGGATCATGCCCTAAACCACTGAGCCATCCAGGGATCCCCTAGATAGTTCTTCCAAGTTAACTTTCCAAAGCACATTCTTTCAAACCTTCTATTTATTTTACCAATTTGAAATGCAGTAAGAATGAACATTTTCCTGAAATGGGAGCATTTTCATATATATATATGTGTGTGTATACCTATTTGTGTATGTGTATATATGTGTGATATATGTGTATATATACATATACATATATATATATATATACATATATCAATCCCAGGTCCCTGAGACTTAAGGCAAATGCTTAAGCAACTGAGCCACCCAGGAGCCTCTCAAATGTTTTTTAATACATATTAACATAGTTTTTTTAAAAAAACTTTTTTTAAGATTTATTAATGAGAAACACACACAGAGAGAGGCAGAGACATAGGCAGAGGGCGAAGCAGGCTCAATGCAGGGAGCCCGATGTGGGACTCAATCCCGGGACTCCAGGATCAGGCCCTGGGCTGAAGGCAGCGCTAAACCACTGAGCCACCCCGGCTGCCCAGTTTTTTTTTTTTTTTTAATTATTATGAGAAACATGTCATTTAATAGGGGTCAACTCTCAAGAAAATTAGTTTCTAAT